AACCAAAATGTAAATAATTTGCACGATTGAAATACCAATTATTATTTTTGCAAATTAAGGTTTCGAGTCATTTCGATGATTTGATCTCTTTTCTGCAAATTTATTTCAGTTTAATAAAAAATGTATTTTTGACTTTGTTGCAGCAAAGATAATCTTCTATTAAGAATGTGCAATACTCCAAGAGATTTACATACATATCTAACACACCTTGGTGGGAAACAAAAAGCAGCTCTATGTGGCGTTTTTGGAACTCTAAATTTTGCTTTTAAAATATTCACGACAAAGGTCTCACTCATTTCCTCTACAAATTATAATCTTAGTTTACCTAGTCAATAGCTGGTTGAAATTTGGCGCCACTTTATTTACTAAAACACAATTTAAATTTTAATCACCTATCTTTACTTTTTGGCTCTCCAGATTGTATAAATCCTCAAATGCCTGTGGTGTGCACTGGCATAGTTGCAGTTCTTGGGGTATTTTGTCCGAAAGAGAGAATGCCCACAGAATTGGTGTTGCGGTCTTTAAGCATGGTCCTGTTTGCATTTTAAATACATTTATTTAGTGAATGCTAAACTACCTTCTTTTTACATAAAAGTGTTTTTGATCACCTACTGCACCGTAAGTTAAATTGACTTCAGGTATTTTCAAGAAACTACTCTGCTAAGCACTGCCAACTCCACGCTGACAGGCTCTAACCATTTTCTAGTATGAATTTTAAATTAATCAACGTAAGACTGAACTCTTGTAAACTTCTTTATTAAACTCTGTCTTCTTCGTTGTCTAAAACGTCGTATTTCAAGCAATGTATCGTAAATTGTGCTTGAACCTAAAAAGACCAAATTGTATTCTGTACATTCTCTCATTTTCTTCATAAGCTCTTGAATGCTTTACAACCTTCTTTTAACAAGTTATTGGTGATTAGCCATATTTATTCTCGATTTCGAAAACGGATGGTGTCTCAGTGACTCTCATCAGTAAGTAGGAGAATAGGAATTCTTCAAAAGAGGAATATTACTAAAGTAAATAGAAAACTAAATTGAGCAAACACAACCCTATTCTTTTCCTTTACTCATTAAAGTCAAATGAAAAAAAGTGCACTGAATGAAAAGTATGTGGGATTAAAGTAAAAACTAGAACTTCATTGTTTCTATGTGAACTGTCCTGAGTTAATACCATGAAATGCAGATGGTTTTAATTTACAACTTTCCAGTACAAGATTATTTAAACTTACTCAGTTGATAAATTTTCAGTTTCGTTTCTTGATTTTGAAGTGCTTGTGGAAATGTATTCAAGATATGCCTTGACGATTCACTCGTATAGATGTAACTTCTCCATGTGTAGAAATCTGATATTAAGTACATTGCTAGTGCATGCAAATTGCAATTTTGCCAGTTTAACATTTTCCTACCAAATTTAATTGAATCAAGGTACTCGCCTTTCGTGTGTGTATCAATTTTGGACCAATTTGTCAATAAAAAATTACTATCGCCGTGATGTATTTGAAAAAATCAGGAAAATTCACTTAGCTTTAATTTAAGTGGCATTTAGGGCATGTGTGGTGATAGCCAATCAACAATGTGAACTACCACATCAATTCTGCCGCTTTCCGATAATTAGCAAAAAATATCTATTTTGAACCGGTTATTTAGTATCTGTAGATGCCTCCAACCCATTCCCAGTCATTTGAAATATAAGATTTTATGCTCCATATTTTTTACTTTTATTCAATGTTTTATGCACGTACGTATAGCCAACCTCCCTTTCTTGGATCAAGTGATTGACAATTTCACTGTCGAAGCGGGCTTGGCCTTTAAGAAGAGGATTAATCCTAACAAGGTGGTACCAATGTCCAGGATACGCGCCATAGAAATCATCGACGAATGTGGGTTAATTTTCATTCTGTGTTGCATCGCCTGCTTAACATTTAAAATGTTTTTTGCGCTAGAGCTGCTAACTGTTGACAACCAAACCATGGTAGCAATGATTGTTTCTACATCAACATTCCCTGTTACGAAATAGGAGAGCTCACAGTCTATAGCAATTTCACAAATTTTTCTGGCACGCTGACACAGCAAGACCATGAACTTTCGCTTTGTACAATAAAAAATTTTTATGTTAATCAGAGGCTATAACTTGGGAAAAAGTCGCACAGTGGCAGTCTTAACGCAGTGTTCTGCTTCGGCGTTTCTTCGTAGTCTTCACGCTGTAGAAACAATGTGTTTAGCGGCAAGGAAATTAAGGAAATTAATCTGTGATCTCAATTTGGTATTTCTTACTAATGACTTTATGGATTGATGCACTAAACATATTCAGCGCCATTCAGAACCTTAAGTATCACTATCTGCATTTGACGTGATTATTGTGCCAGATAATGGGAGGTGCAGTAGCCAGTGCTATAATTGGGCTTTAGTGGCAAATAACAGTCCACTAAGGTGTGCTTATATCGCAATTTTATTATAGATTACAACAGACTTGGTGACTCGGCCTGGATAAATGTTGCCGAAGACAAAACCAACTTATTCGGTCTACCTCTTCAAAACCAAGTTCGAAAGGACGCTTATCGCTTTTGGTAATGACCCTGATTGATTAAAAAACCAGGAAGAGTTTGTAGAGATGCCAAAAAGTCATTTTTAGTAAAAAATTGGCGCAAAATACCAGAGGAAAAAACGACAGAACCACTAAATCAGTAAAAAAAACTGCAAAGGTGTTTCTGCGGATTGTACATGTGATCCAAAGAAGTTGTAGCAACTTTTTTTGCCAATTGCAGCAACCTTTTTCTGCGAAAATGGAAACCTTAGACGGCAAAAACTCTGTCACTTGAGACGAAACAGCGCCACTTTAAGTTGCCAAAATCGAGTAATACAAAACAGCCCTCTGTCTCACGAAAACGCTCAATTTTCACCTCCAAATATTCACAAATTAAAATATAATTTCTGGATGTCGAAATGCCACAGCATAAAAGTCACAACATATCCCGTTTGTAATTCTACAACCACACAACTACTTGAATGAGCACAAATACTACCTCTATTTTCTTATTAAATGGATTCAAGACACATAAGTAGTCACTATAGTAGATTTAAAGTAGATAGAGGCAGTCACTTGCAGCAAAATAAACAGGCTACTCAACTGCGCTTGGACATTTGCTGAGGTGAAAGGAATAATGTTTACAGGTCTTTGTAAAAGAAAGAAGTGATTAATAGCATTCACACACCTAGTAAATGCTTGAAATCAAAATCGTTTTTTTAAGGCCACAAGCAGTCATTTTATTTTCAACAAATCACTTTTTGGGCTATTCCAGGTTAAGTATATTGACAGTTGACCACAGAGAACCAATCAACATTCACTTTACAGTGGACGTGGTTAAGTGGCCACTCAAAGTGACCTCACTCCCTACACGGCATGGGTGGTTTCCTCGTCTAAAGACAGTTCATAATCATCGTGTGCGAATGCGGATGAAACTGGACGAAATGGCCGGACGTGGCATTTCACTCACACACAATTGGCCGCCGAAATCTCCTGAGAAATCACTTTCTTACAGATGGAGTTTGCTTAGTAACCTTGACAGGTACTTTCGACCTGATTGCGGGCTTCACTGTGGCGTTGGGATTATGCTGATTGACATTCAGCGGCAAGGTTTGTGAAGTAACCCATATTAAATTATCAAAAAACGCAAAATTTCTTTGTTGTTTCAGGGCCAAATGTCAAACTATAAAAACGACCTTGTATGTTATGACAAGCTCTCTTATTTCCAACTAAAATCATGCAATATTTTTAGTACTTTAAGGTCTGGCTAATGATTTATATAAGAAGGAATATGTGGCTGCCCTGCCTAAGTGAACTATGAGTACAGAAAGTACACTAGCTGCGTCCAAAGTTACACTCTAGAAAAATTATTCTTGGGAGCGTCAAGTTGTAAACGCATAATTAAGCCATACTCAAATCCATATGTGGTGAATGGGCACTTCGTGTGCAAAAACTGCTGACAATGTTCAATGATCATTTTGTAGACACCAGCATAATTTTTCTCCTGAATTGCAGGAAACGAAAAACAGAACGTGTATTGGTTCACTATAGTATGGTACAGGAGGTATTATGTAGCAAATTAATGCAGTTTTCCGCATATCATTCAGACCAATCTGTCATTCAAGTGGATTGGGCTCTGCTACCTTTGCTTCAGGAGGGACTACGAGAAATGTTTACAACGATGGGCAACTTTTCAGACACTGTTGCTGCCACTTCAAGTAGCATTTGCCCGCAGAGTTCCATTCAAGACCTTCAAAGAAGGCTCCTTAGAGCCCCGTTAAACCACAGGTATTCATCACCCTCCTCTGCGGTTGCGTCAGCGCACCAGGATTACTTTCCCTTAAATGATCTAAGGCAGGCCTCGTGGTCGGCTCCAGCACCACAACTAGTTGAGCATCTCGACTGGGCCAGGCTGGGGACCACAATGGTAATCGCCGTGGACCTAATTGGCACGTGTTTCGCGCCTTACTGGAAAGGAGGCAGCCACGCGTCTGTGGACGGAGGGCGACCTTCAACCTTCATGCCCATTGTCAACTTCACCACCTATATTGGTGAGCTTCGCGTGTTTTGGAGACTTTCTAGAAAACATTTACCTTACTAGCGATAGTCATTCGCCGGTGAAGTTTTGTACACTATTTAGCTCTGACTAGCTGTTTGAACCTGAAATATTAACTTCCCTTAAAATACTTCTCTAAAACCAAATTAGTGACTAGCGACCTAGATTACTCTGATTGGAGTTTTAATACAGCAATAAATTTTGTCATTGAAATCTGCTTTAATAACGAATTCCGGTACTTTGATTTTTATTATACAATTGCAGTCCATTTTATTGTTCATTGTACCTGTGCACACTTAGGTCTTTACATGAGCATTTCATTTTGCGAAGCTGATTTTATATCCATGGGCTTTACATTAGAAGCGATTGTTTCATTTAAAGAAAAGCTACTGTAGTCCTTTGAAAATCTGTTTTTGTTTTATTTTAGTTAACAGGAAGAATTCATTTAAAATCGCTTTCGGTGCACTCTAAGCTCTGGCATAATTTCACAACATTTTATTGCAGATCTGCGCTTTGGCCATACATTATTTTTTATAGCACATAATTTATTTACATCCTCTGATAGCAATCTTTTGCCCATGTTAGAGTAGACAAATGGTTGCCAAATTAGATCTGGTTATTTCTCAATGACTGGGATTTTTATGGGCCAATAGAATGCATCAGTATTTGTAAAGTAAATGGTATATTATGTTTCGCCTTGAGTTTGCGTCGATTATCGATGAAGGTCCTTATATATTATGGCATTGAATCCATTGACGAAAAAAGGCTCTAAACATGCCTGTGAAATCATCTCGGCCCCCTTCCTTCAATTTTAGCTACATATACACAAACAGTACAATCTGTAATGAGACTCTGATTTAAGTACCCTTGTACCTAACCTAGATTGATTTTGTCCATCGTGAACATGGTCCTGATCGAAGAAATAAACGCCTTTTAAGAATAGACCTGCGCTTGTAAGGAATTCTGTTTCTCCTAGAACGACATCTCAAAGTCTCCTTTGAACCCAAATAAAATTGAAACTAAGATATGTTGTCCTTAAAAATGTAGACTAGCATTATGTTTTACTTGCTCTTCCCCTTTTATTTGATGTCGGCTGTCTGGAAAAAAATATATTTGACTGTACCTCAGTTTGAAAAAAGTAGGTGTATATATGAAAGTGAATAAAACAAACACCCCGTCTGTAAAAATATTGCAACCAACATTATAAAGCCGTTTAGTGGTAAACAATCATCAATAAGGCAACGTGAATTTGTGGTCAAGTAAATCAAATAAAGCAGGAAGTGTAGTAAATGCGGTTCTATGCTGTGGAAATTTATTTAAAACGTTTCACTGCTAGACCAGTCATTTTATCGTTGAGATAGCCTAACATTTTGATCTATGCGGTGGTGAGATCAAATTACAACACATTAAGTTGAGAGAAAGGATAGACAATTAACGTCACTTTAATAAAATTAAACACTTTCATCCTCACTTATTAATGGATGAGTTTCAAGATTAAAAATATTTATAAAAACTACTTCAGAATTTTTTTATCATGGTGGCTGGAATGCTCTCATAACAGTTAAATCATTTACGCTATGCATAAGACTTTAGTTAGTAAAGTTTCTAAGTAATTTAGTAAATCGAACAAACTATTGGATTAAAAGTTAGTTTGCATAGAAATTAATTTAAATCAATAGACTGGGCTACTGTCAATTCAAAAACATCAATCACTTTTACGCTGTTTTTTTCGAATGCATGTAAACTGTAATAGTGAAGTTTTAACTAAAATTCTTTTCAAATTTACTAGAATGACTTTTGATCTGACGTTTTCGCCGTGTCTTTGTAGAAAGTTATACAAATTATGTATTTGAAGCCTTGTTTTTTACTTGAACACGCCTCAAAATTGACGCATCCTACCTCTGCATTATTAACTATGCTCACAAAACTGTCAATTTTCCTGAATGACAAGTTGAAGTTAAAATAAGACTTCACATCTGATATGCCCTTCATTTAAGTGATTGGTACGTTGCGAGTAACAAGTGTCATTAATATTTGCATTTTTTGGAATCAAGAATAATCTAAGTCTCTGTGTAGTGAGTAGCTTAGAGCGCTTAGTGACCAAACGCATCGCCTGTTGATTTACTACAAGTCGGAGAGGGTTCTTATCACATTAATGTTGATCATGTCCGAAAGGGATTATCACCACGACAAAATTTTTTTACTCTTCTCAATATGCCTTGCAATCATTTCCACCTTCCTGGGAATTCAGATTGTAACATTTGAAGTTTTTAATGCCTAGTACTGGCAAGGAAATAGTTTGGTTGTTTAAAAGGAAAGGCAAAAATGAAATTTAATATTAAGTTTTTCGGCAATTTTTGTCTACTGTTTTCCTGAGATACTTAAGTGGTTTTGTAAGACAAGACTTACTGTAAGTGGATACCGTCCTTTAATCGGACTTGGCCTGCTGTTTTTAGGTGACTTGTGGTGATTTTACGTTATTTTAGACTCTTGTTTTCTTATTTGTATCAATCTACTGGATTATTTTCAGTTCAATTTCATGATTTTAAAATAATTTGTTACAGTACCAGGATATGCAAAGAAATGCTTTTTTCCTCGTACAGATGTAACTTCTCCAAGTGGTACACCCCAGTAGTTAGTACCTTGACAATGGAAGACTTGCAACAAATTTCATTCTCGTACTTTCCACTTACACTTGCCTTCTGCTAAATTCTTTTACATCATCACACTCCTGCTTCCTTTGTTCTTTCTTAATATCAACAGCCTTTATCTGTGGGTCATGCTGCATTTATAAAGTATTTACTTCCCCTTAAAAATGTTTTTATTAACTAAAAAGATGTCAATTTTTTTTAAAAGCCGCAGTAGGTACGCTATAAAGTCGTATTGAAATCGCTATATTGACAGCCTATCCTGCATGTCTTATTACCTACCGTGGGTCACTATTTCTTTTTTATTCAAAATGCTGCTGTGCTCGTCAAAAATTTATGCTTGCCTTAAAATTTTCAAATTAAATATCCCGAAATCTTGCCTTACATAGGTATTGCTTGTCTAAATATCATAATGATAAATTAACTTTGACGTAGGAACGTCTTTTTTATCGTGTAGATGGTGAGAGCTTCTAGCACAATGTCATAAGTAAAAGATAGAAACAAAAACGAGTTATATGACTTCAGTAGTTAGTGTCATGGGAGTTTCAAAAGTGCTATTTTTTTCAATTTTGTTAGTTTATAAGCATTCTATTGGTTGACTTTTATACACTTAAGCTTCCCAATAATATGTGTTCAGAAATATTCTCAGACCTATAATTACATTAGAATGGGTTTTGCCGTTTTGCCAAAGTCACTTGTTAAATTCTGGGCAAAAACAAGTGAGGGTGAATGACAACAATGATTATTTATAAGGCTTTTGAAATATATGTTCGCTTTAACCATTTGGCATTTCCTAACTTAGTGCTTCTCAGTTTTCTGCATTCTTGTGAGCAACTTGAAACTATTGGTCAGTTAGATGAACTAACCTTGTTTCATACGCTGATTTATTTTCTATGGTGATGTCTGAGAAATACTTCATCTTGTCAGTTTTGTCCTCTATGAGGATCGATTGCACCAAGAAAATTTAGCAAAGCGCTGTAATTTCTTAAAAGACGGTAGAAGTGGTGGGCGAATGATTTGTTATGGCATCGCAAAGTACAGATCATCACTTATATACATAACACGATAGGAAACAAAAGTGCAAATAGGTATTCCAGTTAGAAATACAAGTCGACTTACCAAACACCAATCAGAAATTTTTGTCTTAGGGTCCGTATTTTAAACTCCTGAAAGTGTTGAAATGATCATTGCAGCACCATGCCTTAACTAGCACCTAGGCGAAATCTTTCCTTATTCTGGTCTATGGTGTGTCGTTAGTGTCTGCACTAATCACTGCTACCTCATTTTCCATGCAGGAAACGTTAGGTATTGCAAGCCCATGGTAACACAAGAAATCGGTTAATGGAACAATAATAATAATGACAAATCTGATTTTTTTCAGTTTCGTTGTTTCCACAATCTTTCCGAATAGGCACTTTTATGCGAGAACGTAAATATCATTATACGGACACCGACAGCGTACCTCCCGCCTGCCAACATCACTAAAAGACTAACTCACTTCGTCTTGCACTATGTACCAATTGTAGCATTTAATAAATGTGGTCAAAATTGTTTATTTGAATCGAAAACTTCGTGCATATAACAGGCACATATGTATTTTATTACGGACGAAGAAACAAATATTTGCGTTATTCGCAGCCTCATGGATGTAAATCACTTTGTAAATGGCGACCAATTCCTACACTACGTGATTTGTCACCAAACGTATTGGTTTTTCTTACAGGAGAGACTTTTCGACACCCTATATCAGCGGACAATACGTGCGTGCGGTCTCTCTCGCAAAATGCTCGATTGTTTGACAAAGGTTTGTGCACACATGTAAAAGTTCCAGTTGGTCGCTCAAATCATATATACCTATGGGATGTAGAGTTTCATTTAACTGGCGGTTGAGGACTCCTGCAATTTTTAAATGAACTTTCTATTCATTAAACCCTTTAAATCGCAACAAATGAAAAAAATATTTTCTGCATAATTAAATAGCAATTTGAATGAAATAGTGATAGTTGATCTTCAGGTTAAAGGTAATAATTTTTGATTCCATTTGTTATTGAAAAAGATTTTTTCCTAAATTATTGTGAACAACAAGAATCTAGTAATTTGACATTTCGGATGTTTGGACTGTGTATGGATGTTCTCAACACACTTTAGATATAAATTACATGCCATTTATCACAAAAAAAATAAAAAAACTGCTTTCCGCTTGGTAAACAAAAGCTCGTCTCGTGCATGTGCGATTTAAAACATAAGACCCGACTTTCATGCTCTCCATGAACAGGTTAATTTGGTGGATGCATGCTAAAACACTGAAAAACTCGCTCTTTAGCTGCAATGAAGGGTGTAGATAGTCGGAGCCTCCCAAGATGCCTGTTTTGGCAAGGCAGTCGATGTAATGGGATTATGTCTTAATTGCAATTGAACTTTGAATTTTGCGTTTGTTTGGCTTAATATTATGGTTCTGATGGCATCAACCTTAACATTAGTTCTGATTTGCTGCTCCATTTATACTTATGGTTGCTTCGTAAGACGCTACATTTTTATTAAAATTGAACTCTGTATAAAATATCATGACTTGGGAAACGGATTTTAAAAAATTCAAATAACGAAAAAACCATGTATGTATATTGTCCAGATTTTTGAATCACCATATCAGTGTCTGCATTTTACAGTCAAAGTAATATTTAAAATTTTACCATTATAGACGTTTCAGTTGTGAAAATTGAATATAGTGATGCCAAGTTGGCGGCAAATTGCGTGCTAGGTGTGTGAAAAATTTTGTTTAGTCAACAAAAATTGCAAATTTAAAAAAAAAGAATTATTTATCAGGGAATAAAAAGGTAGAGATTCGTGTGGATTGGAGTAGGTTGAGCGGTGGCGGTCCTGACGTTCCGCTGCAAACTAAAGAATCCGCATCGAGTGAAAAGGATATTCGTAGCATTTAAAGGTTGCCTTAGAATTTTTGTAATTTTTCAAGACAAGTAGAAGAGAACAATAAAATTTTAGATGATAGCGAAATGATAAGTTATATTTATTGTTCCCGAGTGACACATAAGTTGTCTGTTTGACTTTAATAAAAATGTATGCCTCTTCGTTTCAGATTTGTTAGAAGTAAACGAAACTTCCTGGGTGAGTTTGGAGGGAAGCAAGTGTAGGATATACGGAATCGCGATGAAATCTGCTGCCACTACAGGAATTCACGAGTTTCAGTATGTCCATTCTCTTAGGTTGACAGGATCACACTTATTTTATTATAAGTGTGGTTTTGTAAAATAAATAGCTCATTTTCAGGGTGAAGTACGGTGGTAAAGTGGAGTGTTGTGCGACTTTTTTAATGAATTTGTTGGTGAAGGGGATTGAAAGCGTTGCAAAAAATCTAGACACTGCATTTCGCTTCTTACGTTTAGCTAGGATTTATAAGGTGAAGTTTTAAATGAAAGCTTCCATTTGTTTCCTTTTGTTTATTAATAGTTAACTTGTGATGGAGTTAGTTTGGATAACTATCTAACATACATCACCAACTTTTTGTAAATTATCTAATCTACTTGTCTCTAAGTTGTTAAAGTCCTTTACGTAACTTGATTCTTTGTTCCAAGAATCCTATAAATGTACCGCTTGTAAGTACTACCTACATCCTCGGCTTCTTACTTTACCTTGTTTACAAAAAAATAACTTACAACTAAATGTGTGTTTTTCATTCGTCGAGAAGTGCTCCATTAGTTGTTCTTATCACTTACGCTTGCAATTCTTTGAAATGTATTCAGAATAATGGCAAGTTCTGCCAGCTCCGTACTATCACGCGTGACTATCAACGTGGTTGAAAGAAACCCACTTTTGCCAGAAGTTCCAAATCACAGAGTACTGATGCGTTTTGAACCTGGATACGCCGTTCGGGCAGATCCTAGGACACATGTACTCCAGACTTTAAATCGAAAATGGCAGTTTCTTCTGACGCTAGATAAATATCTGCGACCAGAATGCCAGAAGACTGAGAAAGTTGATTGCGCAAATAACATTGATCTGCTTCTCATCAACATTGCGACCGACGGTAAGTTGCCTGAGACACTAGGTTGGTGTAAGTTCATTTAACCAAATTTGTTAAATACCCAAATGCATGACTTCACTAGAAAGGCTCTTCCTATAAATTGTCTCTGAGACCTTTAGCATTTAATTGCAGAAGCTTAACTAAATCTGTAACTGGTTTTTATCCCGTTTTTCGTCTTAAAGCATTTTACTTTACTTGATATTGCATTCACTGTACCTTAGATAAATTTAACAAGCTTGCGACTTCGCAGGCTGATTAAATTTTATCCTTGATTCAGCGTTTCACGTCATGTTTTCAAAGTAATTTGCCTATATGGAATTGATACTGCTTCGATAAATATAAAAATTTTGCACTTCAAAAAATTTCTTGGCTAGCTGATCGGGTTTTATTAGAACAACAATTTAAGCAAGCAGTAGCTAATATCGCAGATATGAACTTTGGTTTCCATTATTTTTTCCAACTTAAAGTCGATTGCCAGTGTTTCAATTATTTGCTTACTAAGCCGGCGGCTTCTTTTCTCATATTAGCTATTCTGATATAAAATCGACCAGTAAAGACTGGAGTTTTGGAATCACTGTTACATTGTTTTCTGGGGTTTGTACAACGAAATAACCTTTGTTCTGGATCTCCCAAGACATTTTGTTGACCTTTTTTTGTAAAGATAGCCATGGTAAAGCGCAGTTGACTTGTAATGAACCGTCAGTAAATGCACGTGAGAGAAAGCTTGTCCTAACAAATTTATCACAAATTGACAATTGTTTGCGACTCACTTCCGCCTTTCATTGATTCCTGTCCACAATCGCGCAAGGACACATAGTGTCTAGCAGATGACTCTACAGTTGTGTCCGTTCTGTCGCGTCACCTTCACACTGTTTGTTCTAGGATTACTTGGGGTTTTGAGGGCTGTGGTGCAGCCTGCTCATCGCCACAAACCCCCAGACTTTAATAGACAGGCTGTCGCTGGAAAAGCGGCTTTATATCAAAAATGGTGCTGTAACCTACTAAAAGAAATTTCATTAAAAGAAAATGTTCATTTTGCTCTAGCTCTATGGTATCTGTACACCTTAGCAACTAAAATGCAATTTTCGTTTAGGAGATGTTTTAAATGTAATATGGGCAAAGAAATCTCTTGTGTATCTACCAAGTCTGTCAAAATGGACAAAGAGTTCAACTGCTCAACCAGCAGCAAGTGAAAAATATTTGGATGGACGGAAATTAAACGCCCCTCAAAGGCTAACCCAGCGGGAACCTTTTGGGGAGCTCCCTGCTCCACGAAACTCCGAAACTGACCACGAGTCGTCTTGTCGTTGGGAGGAACTGGAGAAGCTCACGCAGCGATTGCAGAGCCAGGGCCCGGATCCCCATGTCCTGCCTGAGCTGGTTCAGCTTTTTGCACGAACCGGATTCGGCCGTCTACTGGATGTAAAAGTTGAGAGACTGGGACATTGTTCTGGACATCCAAAGTCAGCTGTTTCAGGCAAGCTGGAGGTCTACTTAAATATTACACGGCATCATATTTCTGATAAAAATTTGATAACCGCACATAGCACAAAACATTTATATACACCAATAATAATTGTGAAAATCGGTGTCCATGGGCCTGTCATTAGAAACCATAGGGTACGAAGATTAATGAACTCACCGCATTGTCAGGTCGTTGACCAAGATTTGGATGCCGACACACACACTGACTTTATGAAGGCAGAATGCAAGCGCAATTTTTCTTCCTAATATTGGTTTAGTGCAAAAAATGGTTTCAGTTTTTTTTATCTATGTTAGATAATACTTATCAGAATGTATCTCATTGTACAGTTTCGGATGCCGCATTAAATAATTTATGCCTGTGTAAACTAAAACTATATTTATTCAGGTAATAGTTCTATTTTTCGTGACTTTCCTTTTTATGAAAATCGTGAAAGTGGATATTATTTTCCCAGCAAGCGTGCATAACTACGTTTCTTTATTTTTTTAATCATCAAAAATTCACTTCGATTACAGTGTCTATTCCTATTAATTTAGATTTAGCTGCGAGTTGTAATTCTGGATTTGTCATGATATCTTGGCTGGAATGGACGAGGTCATGTCTCCCATTCTCAGTGTAACGTACGAACTGGACTAGATTCTAGGAATAAAGGAAAACCAGCTTAAATGACGGTACAGGCGTTTGGCTCTCATGCAGACTAAAATGAACCACGCAGTTACTCTGATTAGGTACTTACTTATCCTGTTACTAAATAATTCAAGAAAATGGATTTGGTGGTCATTAAAATAGTTTAGGCGAACTATGGTTACTTAAATCGGTAAGTAGAGACTGTAATAGCCGTCGATGTGTCTGTGTTCCATATTTGACAAATTTGCGAAAGTATTCTATTGGAACAAAAGATTTTGTGAATGAGCTTATTTAGTCAGTTGATGAAGCTACCTTAAATTGCTTCAAAGCATAAGGCACTTACTTTACACCGCCCAACTTTTCTTAAAGGCGTCTCCCTTAGTCGACGTTTCCAAACTAAGGAGACTAAGATTATATTTCTTGAATCGAACCTTTTGTCGTTGTGTACTTCTGGAAGTGTTCGACGTCTTTTTCCTATTACTACTAATTGCTTTGACTAATTAGATTTGGAGATAAAACTACCATTCCGGCAAATGCAGGTTAGTTTTTTTATATTCAGACCATAGGGTAGGCATTCGTTTCGGTCTCATTAACAACAATATATTCAAGTGCCATTGACTTTAATCACGCTGCATCGGATGATGCAGGTTGTATGCTTTTGGGTATTTTTTCGTTCATTATCGAGGCTTTTTGAAGGACCCAGGCCAAGGCTGTCTAAATGAAGAGTAGAATTGGCTCAGTGGAGGTTATCCCCACAGCTACTCTTTTCTTTAGTAATCGCCTACGCTAACATTACAGCAAATTCAACACTTTGCAAAGCTGACTCATTCAGGGGTGCTTTGCAGTTCCTATCCTTTAAGGTCTCTTAGGGTACCGCAACGTCAACGATTCTTTCTGGGTACATTTGATTATATCTGGGCTGACTTACTCCGTCAAAAATTACTTGATTAACACTTCCCAATAGAATTCGCTCACTAACATCAAGTGTGCGATGTCTTCGAAAAGCCTTTTTTTCGATTTCACTTCAGTACTCACAGCTACGCACCAGGTTCACTGAATAAAATTGAATGACACCAAAGTATTGAGGTACGTGACCGATCCGGTAATTCGGAATATCACGATACTCACTGGCCATTAACTTGTTAATTTTTAAACTGTTAAATAATTGGTTTCAATCAAAATCTCAGTGATTTGTCCGAATTATGAGAATTTCTGCCTGCCACACACAACCACGTTTTCCGTGGCTAACTATCCAGAATTACATCGAATTATCGAAGCTACTAGCATCATGTGCATCGTAATTTCTTACTTCATGTTTACTTTTTAATATGACAGAAAGCACATAGAGTCAAAATTTCGTAATGTTTACAATTATTTAAAACATTAAGGGTACTCAACCTCAAATTTAGTTTAGAACAAACACTTAGATCTCTTCACAGCAGATTAGAAGATTTGCTTAACTGTTCTTCTGTTTTCAATTTATAAAGTAAAAGTAATTTAGGGTTTGCCTAACGGACATTAAAATGGGATCTTTTTACTGTGGGTTACCGGTACACTACGTTGTTCCTTGGGGCTACTAACCAATTGCCTCTAATTTTGTCAGTTTCTTGTCTCACCACTTAATAGACAAACTAAGAACTCACATTGTAATGTCCAAATCTGATGTTAATGCATTCCGTCCACCTTAGTAATCAAATCTAAATATGTTTTTGTCTGTGTATGTCAAAGGTGAAAAAACAATAGCTGATGAAGTCCACTAACATTCAAAAGAAATTATGGTGTCTACAATAGTGTTTTTAAAATCAAGAAATTGGGATTTCAGTTACCAAGCACTCAAGCAATTTAGATCGCCTTACAACGCCGCAGCACCCGAGAGCGGGCAAGAGGCAGACAGGGACTTGACCGATTCTTCGCTTTGTAGCAGCGACCAACAGTGACAAGGCCCGGCCAAGAGAAGGAAAAAAAGTCGCAAACAACACGGGGCTCAACAGATTTATTGTTACAGTAGAGCGTAGTTATGAGTTGTTTGTGTCTGTTCATAGCGTGCCAAGGCATCGGTTTATATAGCACAGTTTGACATTGCTCTCTGGATGAGCATTGCGACGTGAGATGCGCTCAAAATGCTCGATTTAATCCGTGCTGGCTCATGCTTGCTTATTGAGAGGTAGTAATCGTGGCGGAATCTGATTGTAGTAACAGGTGAATAGTAAATATGAGCTACATCGCAACTAGCATGCGGTAAATTTGTTCTGTCTAGATTTTCCTCATACGCCTCACATGACAATACTACTGCTGAGATTCTTAAATGACACCGTGGGGAATTAAATAAGCTTAATAGCACTTCCGCGTGGTCGAGGAGAAATAGCATAAAATGGCAGGTAGGGAATTCACGGGAGGTCAATGACAATAGTATCGCGTATGGGTTTACTCAAACTGTCGAGCATCAGTATGACTAATTTGTCAAAACCAGGCTTATTTTGCCAATGTTACTCTTGTGGCTGGAGACTGTAGTAGTAAAAAAATTGTGTTGCCTTACCTTTTCAGTCAAAACGTCATGAACGAACTTTAAAACTAATTATAAGATGCTTGTGGATTTGCAGTCCTCGTAATTAGCAGGAGTCGTATTGTAAATGCAGCGAAGTTTGTAATTTCCTCTGAAAGCATTGTCATGTGCCCTTAGCCACATTTTCAAACTTAACATTCCTATAGTCTCTTTTGCTAAATTTGGAGTGGAGCGGTCACAGAATGCAGCACCTGATGTGACACCAAAAACATTCTGTGTTACTGTTAGGCACCTCTGTTTGCAAACCAAAACATCTGATGTTTTTTGTGTAATCTAATCCTCACACGAGCCTTATCTTAACAGAAATCTTACAAATTTAATAAATGACTAAAGGATTATTTCAATTTAGCTGAATGTGTTACAGTCAACTCGAAACTTCCAAAATAGAACAAGTCTTCACCATTTCTCATAATGTGATAGTTTTCGTCAAGCTGACGCGTGGTTCATGAAATGGACTAAAAATATCGTGAGCTGAAGCGTTTAAAGTTAACCAACTGCGAAAGTCGACCTCCTCTTCCTATATGCAGTATTGCTATGAAATTAATTTTCTTCCTAAATTGGCGAAATTAGGAAGGTATTCGGAGAAAGTAGGGGCAGACGTGAATTTTCGTTTTTCAGCGATGACTTGGCGTGAAGGACCCATTTCATTAGAAATTCGACCTGATGCTATTAAACCGGCATGCGCATGTGCTCTCAATTCGCCGACTCTGTTCTGAGTTTAAACTTTATTATTCCCCCCTTCAGTCGCTGCAGTAATTCTGTGCCTTGGCGAATTCAAGCAGCATTCGTAAAACTCGATGCCACGCAGTTAAGACCTCTTCATGTTACTTATGATACCAAACTCAAGTCTACTAGCGCAAACCCTCACGAGGAAGAGGAACACATGCAATCAGTGGTTTTGACAATGTAAAGCCATGTAAACACAGGGGCTTAGAAATTTCGGAAGCTTTGTCCGGGGAAATCTAAGTGCATTCCTTTGAAAGTATCTAACGGTTCAAATTGAAATTGGATGACATTAATATGCGTATTGTCATTGATCGAAGTTAGTTTGTCTCTGTGTTTTATTTTTAAGGTCCCTGGTCGTTATTCACTTGCAACGCAAGACCATTAGCTTTTTGAAGGCCATTTCGTATTGAAAACACTAGGCACCGTAGTTTGTTTAAAGGTGTCATTATTGTAACGAGCAGCCATTGCACAAGTTTCAATGTTTAAATGATCCTGTTTCAATGTTTGTTTAATTCAATTGCCTAAGTTTGGCCAGACTTACTGACCATAATGTAATCCTTTTAACAGTATGTATTTCTCTGTACTTGTACCTGAACTTTATGCGCATAAGCATCTTGCTCGCAGTAACGTTTCACTTCTAGAATTTTGCCAATCGTGGTGAATAAATTACCGCCTAAGCACTGGACTCAAAATTTATATTAAATAACAAATTAATTACAATTTTCCCAAAATCAATCAAAAGAATTGAAGCATTTAAGCTCAAAGAAACTGTTGAATACACTTAGCTCTCTTTTCCCAGCGCAGTTAATCTCGGTGTCTTCATTAGTAGGACAAGATAGCTTAATTCTGCTTTAGATGGCAATGTTAGCAGGATGATACAATTACAACAAGATGGGTAGACCAGTAATAATAACAAGAGCGGATGATTAGTCCCTCTTAAGCCACTTCTCTAGAGCGAACGTGGTGTTGATGTCTTAAGAGATGTGGTTATTGTCATTGTCCTAATTGCGATTTTTAAAGAAAAAAATTTTAATTTTGTGGTCAGCACCGATACATAGATTTTACGAAGAATGCTGTCACCGGAATGTAACAATATTACGATAATTTTTGTGTGAAATGGTATAAATTAGACAGCATAAACCAACTAATAGCTCAACTATGAATTGACGTTTAATCAGGTGTTTTATATTGGGCTACGTAGCAAACCCTCTTTTTCTATAAAATAGCTAGGATGATTAAAACGAAAGGACTTTGAATTTTCGTTTAACACTTCGACTTGCGAACTGCTAAGGGCGAGGTTCCGATGAAAATTATTTTGAGGTTGATTTTGCTCACGTGCCGAAGTACAAAATTGCCAGCATTATCTGTGAGTGAAAGTAGACCAAAGAAACGCCCATTTGGCATTCGGTTTCTCCGTGACTCTATCGTTTAATGTGTTTTGTGTATGCTCGTGCAAATAATAGGTTAATAACTGCAGACAGTCTCAGTAAAACTGCACAAAAACTGCTGGTCCCAAGTCATGTTAGCGTGGATTTTTTCTCACATTCTAAACTCAAGCGAATGTATCTACCCTAGTTTCTCTCAAAAAATATGCATATTATAGGTAATACACATATAAATTAAGCAATTAAAAAACTAGACCACAAAAAAATCATATTTTTAAATAACAGACCTGAAACGCATAAGCAGACTTCCATAAACTATGATTCCAGTTTTAAAACATAACCTAACTTGTGGGGCTAGAATTCGAGGCCTTGAATACTGCGTGAAACACAAATTGGCAATCAGAGCATGCCTCGGTACACCGCAGGTTTAAAACGGGAATCTTGTGCATTTACGTGTGCCCATTAGTAATTTAAGTGCAACCTGATAGCCGCCTATCTGCTTCTGTGCCCAAACTTAAGATAAATCTTTTTCCTACACCCTATCTTCTCATTGTGGATCGCAGAACCAACGCTTCAGATACCAAACGATCTCATGTACTTATTGTGTACTGGCAATGGTCCAAAGCGTCTAGTCAAGTCGCCCACAAAGATTTGGCATCACGCGAGCATCCTGTTCGTCTGCTCAATTTCTAATAAGTTGCATCACGCAATAAATGTTTGCCAGACGTGAGGAAAAATTCTACCGCAGCCTGGTGATGTCAAATGATGTTTTCTACTTTATGCAATATTTGAGTACATTGCGCTGCAAAATGAAGATTTGATTCTTATCGTGAATACCAGCAGATGTGCGGGTTTACTAAACATTCAAGTATTTGCTTTTGGTTATATGCTATTTTGGCAATAATAATTGTCGAAAGAAAGTTGTAATAACTTTTAATTTTTGCATTTGCATTACCTAATGCCGTTTTCATGCAACTTTGGGATTGTTCCGCTTTTTAAAAAGGATATACTTGCCTAGCTGCAAGATCTCCAGATCATCCCAGGCTAGACGCTAGATATTCGGCTTTACTTTTTAGATCATTTTACAGCAAAAATATTTGAAATCCTACGTTAACGATAACAGATAGTGCTAGTGTGGTGATTCACATTATTATTATTGTCAACAAAGACGCTGGGCCAGTTTTTGAGGATAAAATCTTTGGCTATTAGGCCTCACGGGAATTTCGGCCCTTTAGCAATGCACCTTGAACTACGGACCGCAAGCATTACGTAATGACAGCTCGATGAGAAAACAGAAATGTTAATTATGGTAAAGAGCTGCTGGTGCGTTCGACCTGCCTCAGCGTTGAAGTCACGTGACGATTGGCCTACATACTAGGGTATAATTCACGCAATGATGCAGTAGTCTCAACTTCTCCTCTGGGCTGTCCAATCAAAATCCGAGACGTACATTTGGCCAAGTCGTGCTTTTGGTTTGGACCAACGAAGAACCAGGTGAGTGAAAACCCATTGGGAAGTGCGCTACGACTAAATACAATTGCTATGTCAGCGACCCTGTCAACACCATGCGGGCTTTGTCTATTACTGCAATGGATTCAAACCTCAAAGTTCAAAATAAGAATGCTAGCAGAAGTGGTATCTCCGAGATTTTCGACAAAGACTGGGACTGGGGATACGAATATGATGATGACGGCCGTAAAACAACCGATCTTTCTACGGAAAACCCCTTTTACTTTATGGAATTTTATAACCAGGATCGATCAAATGATGGAAACTCAGGTAGGCAGACTTGGTTTGATCATGGTGGGGCAGAATGAGGCGCTGTCAAAAGGTTTCGTACATTTTTGCACAGAGTAGCTGGTAACCGGCTTCCTGATTCTTTTTTCGTGTGAACGAACCATCATCATTTTGCTCACATGTCTGACCACAGTAAAATTATTATGGAGATTGCGCTTTGGGGAAGAATATTACGGTCTAAGAAAGGAGCTTCACTGATTAATAATGGGAATTGTTCTCTCTTGTCCAATGCTTTGTTCAATTCGGGATATTTTTTTCAAATTGGGTCGAGCTTCAATCCATGTGTCCAAATAGGTAAGGGGCTCACTTAGAAATAGACTTTGTACATGATTTTTTGACCGATTACTTCGTTTGTTCCTAGTGGCTTGTTGCGAACTTTGTGAGACGCAATATTATATGCTTATCTTTCTGGATTAAAAAGTGTAATTTTTTTCAAAATGGTAAATAATCTTTTTGGAAACACGTTGCTCATTTGCTACTGATGTGGATATAGCTAACCGAAAACCTCGTACATTTACAAGTTTCAAGATCTGGCTTGAAGCCAAGATTTGATTGATTGTCAACCTATCAAAGACAGCGCCATGGTTTTATTCCTACCGATCCGCTGGAGTAAAATTTTACGGAATATTTTGATTGCGTCATTACTAGAAAGAGGAACGACAGAAATCTGCAAGTAATATTTCAGATTTTGTGAAACCTTATACAGACAATGTTATGTAAAGTGCACTGATTCCCGTAAGCCCTAGCAACTCTGGGTAGGAGGGGAACCTTTGCCACTTTTGTTTTTTCGATTATCTTAACCTGCATATGGTGTGTTCTTCGCTGTATGATTTGACGAAGCTGAAATATTTTTTGATGTAGACCACATAAGTATAACCAAGCACCGTGGAAGAGAATTCGCAGATGACCATCTCTGTTTTTACTGCTTATTATAATCAGTGTCGAATATTCAATAATTCCATAGTTGACACTCTCAACAAGTTTGTGCCCGTTGTGGGATCAATAATATGGTTGGATATGCCTTGAGAAAGTTTCTGAAGCCTGGTAGAATTTGCGATAAATTAACGTTTAAACTCTTATTTTTCACTGACTTGATTGAAAACATACAAGTGGAGTCATACTTGATGTGAAATTATAGTCGTAAAATGCTTGCAGTGACTATTTGCTTTTTTTTTCAAAAAATTCGTCCATGTGACTTAGCAATTTGTTGTGTGACATGACCGATGAAGTGATTAGCATGTTTTTTTCAGTTTAATACAACCTCTATTATGAAGTAATTCATTACTGTAAAATTATGTTTCTTTTTAAGTCTCAGAAGCTTGCTGCTTGGTGCATTCGTGTTTACTGGTTCCGATGTTATTTAAAGTTTGCTGAGCAATTTCAAGAATTGTGTGCCCCAATGAGGGTAGTATTTGATTTAGACTGGGTAGTTTCTTGCCTCTACATTTCCTTTACAGCCATCTATTGTGTTGGCCTTTGAACTGAGACAAGTAGGGCCCTAACGCTTAATGCCCTTCGTTCATCTACCATACAATATTATCATCTAGGATACCTCAAATTTTGGTGCATTTTTTTGTGGAATGGGTGGATTTATCCCCACGGGTTTCTATAGCTATCAAAGTTCACCTTAGCTTCACCGTTGCAACATCAACGTCAACGTAAAATGCTTTTGCTACAAATATGCATTTCAAGGTCTGGACCATAATTCAGTGAAGGAAAATTAGTGGACATATTTACTAATGATGAGGCAACCAAAAGTATTGCAACAACATGCAAGACAAGTTTCGTGAGGGTTTTAGTACAGAAATACGAAATATGCAATGTTTTCACAGAATTAGACTAAGTTCACTTTTAGGTGGTTGATGTTGGTATCGATTAAAAAGGAAAAGGGGTGGTGTGGAATTTTACTGACTCTTCCTGGGTTCCAATTAACAAGTGAATCCTAGTGATTTTGTCTCATGTAAGGATTGTAAAGTTTGTAGAAACCAATGCAATGCAATTAGGGACGCCAGAGTATAATATCCCTGTACAAGCATCTCGTCACATATTCAATGCGTTATTTCAAGGTAGGCTTCAGATCTCAGACACAATGAAAATGGACAGGGAATGCAGTTGTCGTTCTTGAATAATTGAGTGAATGTGCAATGAGCTAACAATGGCATCTTGCAATGTGTTTAATGTAACCAAAGCGTTGCTTCTTCCCTCGTTTATGTAAATACATCAGCACACAAACAAATCGTAATCGGGTGTTCCACAGTGAAGAAGTTGCTTCACAATGTCTACTCTGATATGGTTTCTCAGAAGAGACAGTATGGTACTACGTGTGACTGAATTTGGCGTCATGGATGTGCAGAACGGTTGCAAGTTTGTTCAATCAGTTAGGAGGAGCGCAAATTCTTCCAATTCAATTTAAAGCTCCATGAAACGTTGGGTTTTTTTATCTCTGAAGCAAAAGATTACCACTAAAAGAACTGCCAGAGCTACCTGTTAGCTTACTAAATGTTGCCATTGAGTATTTTATTTATTTCTATGGGGAAATCCGTTTTAAATATTACCTGCCAAATAGACGCAGTAAATCCAATTTATATTGATGATCCCATTTTTTGATGAAAGTGAACCTGCCAAGGAAAGGAATTTACTCTCCAGTACAGAAGTATCGGAATCACGACACAAGCAATGAATTGTATGCATAAGTACATGTCTGGTATTTCTGAATACAGAAACAAGAAGCAGCTTTGTTGATTGCCATCACTGAGTGCAAAGCAGAAGCAGATACAGCAATACAATCTGACGAAAGACCAGCCTAGTGGTGACTTCGTGAAGCCCTCAAAACCCTTAACCATCAGCACATCCAGTATTTCGAGTGGACTTGGTTTGATGTCAAGACTGGGATTTCGAAGAAAAATCACTGAGCTTCACAGCGTCTACTTCAAGGGCACCTGGATTAACACTACCGGTGTATTTTGAAGGATTGTGAAGATCACTTCGTATCAGATTTGTAATCGACATTACAAAGGTGTTTGCTGATTAGTGTTGGCGTCAACTGCCGATATTGTCTTAGCAATATAGGCAATATATTTTAAATCTGAATCTAATTGTAGACTATTACTCATTGTGGTGGGGATCAAGCTATAGAAGCACAAATTATTTTAAGCTGACGTTGAATGCATTGGTCGTTCTCCGTTAAAGTGTTCCTTTATGAAGAGAAACATGAACAAATCTGCTGTCTTTCGCATGTCCTTACGGACCCTTAAAAATTCCGTGAAGGCGATTCGCGAGAAGCTCACTGTATTTCGCTCAAATTAAAATCCCGGTTTTGATTGGCTTTTCCTGTTTTCCTGATTCACAGAATCTAATCAATCCCAATTTCCTGGCCATTATATCACCTTTGCTGTTTTGTTCAAATTAGGTAAAACGAAGTAGAAGTAAAACACAGTACTCATGTAAAAAAACTTTCGAGTGTCGTGAAAACCGAGTGGAATTTCCGTTTTCTTGTCATTTCAGCTTATTCAAAAGGGGCTACATATAAACAAAATCGCCTCAATAACTGCATGCTTTTGTTTTCAGTACCAATATTTGTTATATCCTTTGTGTACGATTTAATTTATGTTATGCATAGGGTTGTTAGATAAATGTTTTCATTGGCTGGCAAAACCTAATTCGAGTAAATAAGAGTGGAACAGTGAAAATGTGACTTTTTCATTTGGATTTTTGGTAACAATTCTGTGAGCAGAGAGGATATCGATTTGGGTCAATATCCTGCAACTAACAGACTAAATTAAAAGGAGCTTGCTGCAATTGTGTAACCGATCCGTCTGGAGTTTAGCACTAACACTACTAGTCGTTTTTTCATGAATGCAGCACAGAAATTACACAAAACATTGAAAACAGAGGAATAGTTTCTTATTCTGCAAACACACCTTAGTAATAAAGCCACTTGACTCGTTCTTAGCTCCAAGCAAGACCACCACACGGATGGCATTGCAGACCAATGCCACATTGACCATGTGATCTCCACCTCCTTTCTAAGTACTTTTCCTCGTGCCGGAACGCAGCCTATAAATCACGCAGCTCAACTCAATTTAAAATTACCCAAATAGTTTCTGCTTTAGCATTGATACATTTGAGAAACTTAAGCAGTGTTAAGCCGATAGAAGTAGAGCGTTTTATGAGTGTGAATCAGTACAAGGTTTGGATTAGTTCTTCGTGCCCTTTAGTCAAGTTTGCTAGGACAGTCATAGAATAACTGTCACATACGTATACAGATATTTTTTTGGCTAGAGCTTAAAGTGGTGGTCCATTGTACCTAGACCAAATTCCCTATTGTTTCACTTCGAACTTAAATTTTTCCCATCACACCACATCGTGAACTTTCCCCCGATGTGACATTAACCAAACGTGCTTAGTCTATAGCAATGTGGTTCGAACTTGAATTGCGTGCTTAAAGAATATTAGTTTCGTTGAACCTGTATGGTTTAAATGACTTCTTATTAACTTAAGATTGGCTTCTTTGAAAAACTATCTAGTTAGTAAATGGTGTGATATGATGTAGAACAATTTGAAAGCTGTTGCGACAAGTTTATATTATATCCAATTGTATATATGGATGCCTGGGTTCATTCTTCCGCTTAAGGTTATGAATGAAAACTATTTTGCGACATTCCCAATAGGGGGCAGACGGCCGACGTCAAATCAACAACCAGATACCATCGACATCCCCAGCCCCTTTGACTACCTTGATATAGGGCAACCGACTCCCTTCACTACAAACCGGCCAACACTGAATTATCCCTACGATCCATCTAGCTTCCTTCAGCCACAGTCAGAACGACCTGGCCAACAGCAGCCCGTGAGCACCCAACATCAACAGCGGACATTTCTCCTTACGACCCTCCTTCCACTATGCGCTATAGTACTAGTCCTGCTGGCCATCGTTCTAATTATCATTTGGTTTCTCAAGTGTCGAGGAAGAAAAGCGGAGGCAAAAAAGTCCCGGGAAGAAGGAGATGAAGCAGGCTTATGTGGAGAGGGTGGCCACCGCTCAGCATCTCCCGAACGAGTGCCTTTAAAAGAAGAAAAGAAGGTCCTTGGTAAGAAAAACGGCATATTAGCCAATAATGGGAGCCAAATGTGCAATAAAACACCTCAGAAATCCCGTAAGTTGACGTTTTTTGTGATGAACCATTCAAAAATGACTAACATATTCAAAGTATATGCTTTCTGTTTAATTAGCTACAGTACAATACATCAGTAATTTGTTTGAAGGGGTAACTGTTAAACTGTAAACGCTCTAACTAGGCTAATTGAGGTGAAAGGAGGCCGCGGTCACCACCATGACCACCCTGAAGAGTTCTGTCTATGCTAATGTCGAAAGCTCAACCAAACAATCAGGTGAATAGTTCGTACTTCTGATTTGCAAAAGAATGCGAGCTTTGGATTCTACTCAAGGAAAAATATGTTCATAATATCAATAGTAGATAACACCACTATTGCGGCCATCCATTGATCATGATTGGACGTTTTATTTTGTACAACTCTAATGCAAAATTAATCATTCGGTAGATCAGTTGTTAATCACAACCAGAGAAAAGAGATAAAAAAACAAACAACGTCAAAATGTGTCTATGCTGAACTTAAGCTTTTTCAGGCCACTGTTTAAAGGTGGAATCAGGATATGGTGCATTGAATATAATTCACACCAGGCGATTGTATGTCATCCCGCTTCAGTAACAGCAATTTACACTTAACTGTGATCGGTGTAACCGTGTTTTAAAACGTTTTTTTCCGGAAACAGCCACATCCTCCTTCATTTTACATGTGGTTAAAAATGCCGAGACGATGGTTTGAAAGCAAGTTGGCATCTAATTTCCCCCACAGCCTCATTAATTCATTCCAATGAAACTTCTGTTTTGCGGACTGCGGTGCTCAAAACATATTTCGACCACCTTAAAAATTCCCCAATAATATCTTGATTTCTGAATATTTACGTAAACAGTGCTTTTAAGTCTATGATTTTTTCAAGCTTTACTTAACTTGTTCAAAGAATTAGACAATAAATTACAATCTTCGCACTGTTTCAATATGGCATTGGCTAAATTTGCGCATGAGCATTTGCCGCATTTCCAAATCAAAATTACTTCGATTAAGTTTTATTTGAAACCGATTAGTCAAGTTTCTGGTTACAAACGCATTTTTGGAATGTAAATTAGCAACTTGCTAGAGTCGGCATTACTTTATTACCCAAGAAAAATCATCTGTATGTTTATTTGACTTTCTGAGACATGCAAAATTTTAACTGAAGTTTATACTTTTTTGAGAATTTGACCTTTTCTCGTTGTACTCTTTAGGACGAGACCTTATTTTGACCATTAGATTGTATTCAAATGAAATTGCTTGCTATAACAATCACAAATCTCATTTCATGTTTATTCCAACTTGACAATTGGCCTATTTTGTTTTGCTGTTATTATGACTACTTCGTTTGCGAAATTTGACAGCTTCCTGGTATTTCTTTACATGAACGGAGTTCTAGTTAAGGCGTTCGGCTGATTCAACTTCGTTTTTTTTTATCATGAGGGAAAACCTAGCACAAGTAATTTCCAACCAAACTTGGCCCCATGAATCAGCAACCCTCTTTTATAACCAGGGCAGAAAGATTAGCATGAAGTCGAAGTCTAGGTAATTTTTCTAGTGCTTTACGCTCGAACTGAAATCCGCTGATTGATTTGTATCTTTTTGTGCCTCGTAAACACTTATCTTGATGTCAAGAGTAAGTTCTTAACACCGATAGTTATACGTCATTGATGTCATTTCAATGAAGGCAAATTTTAAGATGAAGTGGCGTTAATTTCGGAATCCATTGTCCTTCTTTTCTTACACATTTTCCTACCCAAACTAAATTATCTGTGTTACACGTTTTACCTTTTCTGTACCTGGTGTCTCTCGTTGTTTCAGTTGACCACCTGAAGGATATTGATAGTATTCCGTCGGCCCCTTCAAAGCCCCTAATATTTCCCAACGAGAAGCCCCCACTGAAGCCTCCAGAGATCATATCCCCAATGGCAAAAACCCAAGTCGATGCCTCTGTCAAACCACGCGTTACATCCTCTGGATCGCCCACCACGCGTCAGTTCTATGCAATGGGACAGCGACCAAATCCCTATCGAAACCTCCCCCCACCTATTGACACCAGATTCGGTTTACCGCGGCAAATGGCCCCACACTTTGGCCCCTACCGCAGGGATCCCCTTGTCTAATCTGTGTCACCCCATTAACAAATCAAACCTAACCGTCCCCCAAATTCTTCCGGATTTCTTATCACAAACCCCCTAATTCAAATATTAGCTTTCAGTGGCGGGTAAGCATACGTTATCGACAGTTAATAGCCTCTCATGGTGATATAGTATTTATGTTCGGTGTATCATCATGTATAATAAACGTGTATATTAATGAGTATGCGTGCTTCCCGTAATGAAAACACGTTTTTGAGGGAGAATGAAGAACTGAATTAAAAGAGCCATGAATGAGGCTGTCTCGAATAAATAACGTCTGTTCTTCATTTCAATGTGATGTCACCTGAACGCTTTTTTTTCTTCAGTTGCAGCCAGTCAGACTAAATGTAGCATTCGTAAGTAAACTCCTCGAATGAAAATCTGTTTTTTTGTAGTCTGTTCATTTTTATTGGACGAATCCCTTTGCTAGATGGCAGATTTTTATTTTCTAAACAAAATCAAAAAGCATGTAGTTGAACTTCTCCAGTTAGTTCTATTACTGTTCCCACGAATGTAGTATTTTTTTGTGCTACAATGTCGGTCAGGTGGTATTTGATGTCTCCGGTTTGTTGCTTGGTTGATTGCAAAACGCCCTGCATGTACGTGTGTTCAGTGGGAATAACAGCAAAAATTAATGCTGCAATTAATTTAATCAAAACCAATGTTCAAACCCTGTAACCGCTACGCATGGCTGGGGAGGCGAGAACCAGGCGCGTGCGGAGTATTAATTAGAGGACGCGAGCCTAACATGGCAACAGAAGTTTTGGTGCAAATAAAGTCAGAAGTGTTAACCGTGTTCCCCTGGAGATTTTCACTCCTCACAGCACACCCATGTTCGCATCGTTGTCAGCTAAATTCACGATTTATTGTTATTTTTATTTGGTGCAGGGTTTAACTAATACCTTAAATCAAAAGATTAGATCCGGGAAACTGGCAGTGTGATGGTATCTAACGCTAGCGGAACTGTATGTTCAAATTATTTAATAAATTACCAGAAGTGATTCGATATTTGTGGGAAAGCTGTGGCGTCTGGACTAAGACTTTGAGTTCAGCATAGTGAGTGATGCCTTAATTTGTCAGAAAGGTGCAGCTGCTCTGCAAGGCTAAGGTAGTCAAATACACTACTAGTCTTCAGATAAGTCTGTTAGGAAAAGCCTCTATTGGCAAGACTTCGCTAGAAAACCTAGAGACTTCGCTGCCACTCATAACTAGTCTGAATTAACCTAAGACGGAATACCTACCTTCAGCACATTGTGTTACAAATTTAATTCTTGATGAATTCCCTTATAAGCGGCACTTAACCATCAAACAAATTTTCAGTCATTCAGCTAAAAATTTCAGTTGATTAAAGTCGCCACTCTCTGCTTGGACGCCTACCAATCAGCGTTGCTCGAATCCGCAATATTTACAAGCAATTTCAAGTAGTATCTGTTGATTGTGTGCTCGTATTTGTGGAAACAATAATTTCATCCTTCAGGTACTTGAGATGTGCGCACATGATAGGCCCATATTTAATGATAAGCGCTACAAACGCCAGGCTAACTATTCTGACAGTTCGAAGTCGACATAGTTTGATTGTAGAACTCTAAAACCCCATCAAGAGGTCTTAAAATTCAATTTTTTCCAATAGCCAAGTAATAGAATTCTCAACACTCGAAACTGCAATTGGAACACTAAACGCTTTTTTTCATGATCTGGCTTACATACATCGATAACGCAATCCTAAAAGCATCAACGGCTTGTCACGTATTTGAAATTTTTCATACTAAGTTTTCATCGAGTCGTCAACCAACCTCAGCATTGCTTTAAAAAGGTTACGCGGCTTGAGGTGCAACCAAACAGTTAAAATGAATTAAGTCTGATTAAAAAATTATTTGTAACGTTAAGATTCGATTGTCAAATCGTAGAAATGTTTCACGGAACTCGCTGTTTGTGGCAAATCACCAAACTCCTTAATTTTGGTTAAAGTTTTATAATGATTGCATATGAAATACAATTTAATTATCTAGAGCCTTGACTAAACCACTGTTGACCATGCTTCATAGCTGTTTCAGGTAAAACTTTTAGTTAAATGTCCTGCCACATCATACATACTAACCAATCAAAACAACTTAAAAATAAGTTGATTTGGGCAGAGTCATGCTCAAAGTGCGTTATTGCAAAAAAACGCACAAATGCGCTTGGTACGATGAATGACTTTGTTCCAGGTCATATCTGATTGCTTCCGGTCAGGAAAGCAGCAACGCCCACCCGTCTGAACATGGCGTCGCAGTTACAAAGACACGGGAATGGTGCTCATGGTAACACGACATCGTCAAAGTGACAACAGAAATGGCAAATGAGGGTCTTGATTCCCTCAGTCTGCGCTAAGACCAACCATACAACTAACTCTGGTGATTTGAAGCTATTAAAATAGTTGAAAACTACGTGATGTTATAACTCTTATTTGGTCTTGAGAGGGATCGAAATACCAACCTATCATTCCTTGGAATTTAGCATAAAATTTAAAGTGATTGGTTTTCATATCTGCTCAATGGTTCTTCTCGATGAAGAAAAAGTGCCGTTGCCTTAATAATCATATATTCATGTGGCTTCCGACATGGCTTTTCTTCAGATGCGCACATATTATTTTCGTAGGCTTTTCCAGTCATGTTGACCGCATTCCTCCCTCTTTTTTGTACTTTTTAATTAAGCAAGTATAAACTATACAAATTAGAATTAGACACTCAAAAATACGGTAAATTTCGATGAATTTTGTCCTTAAAATTGTGGATTTTCTGTGGTAAATTACTTGACCTTAACAAACTTGGAAAAAACCACGCCTAGAAAAACACCATTTTTATCTTAAAAGTACATTATTTCTAAAGTATAGTTCTAATTATAAGAATCTGCCTTTAAAACACGAATTTGCAAATTCAGACCGTGTTTGTCATTTGAGCAGGGGAAGAAATTGCATGCCTATCGTAAGAAAAAGCAAAGTTTTCGAGGCACAGTAAGTTTGTTTTCATTTGCCTTAGATGGAACATTTTTCTCCCAGGCCCTTCTCCTGTGCAATGTAAAATAATGGCAGAAGTAAGTCGGCGCAGTTTGGTGGGATCGCAACAGGCGCAATTTCGTTACATCGCATTGCAGGTGCTCCCGGTCCTATGTTCAGTCCGAAAGTCGGTGAAATATTTGGCGATGCTTGATTAACTTACAGGAATATTTAACGGATTCTTTTGAAGTAAAACAAGCTTTATAAATTAATTACTTTGAAAACTCTTGATAATTAGTAGGATATTTTAGATAGCAAGAGATAACTTATCCAAAAATGTCCAATTAAAGGCAAGAGGCAAAATCAAAATAGCCAGCATGAAGCCTTTGCTTTGCATTCATGTTGGTGCGGGCGGTGGTTTTAATGCTCTACATATCGGTCCACAGTGTTCTAGTGTAAAACAGAAAAAGGCATCAAAGACATTCTTTTCTAGGAAAGTTCGTTTATCGGAGTTGACAGCTCATATTACGATAACCACTTTGGATATAAAAGATTTGAAAGGAACGTTTGGTGCAAACAATAGTTTTGACTGCATTTAGACCAAACACCGGCTATTTGTGAAATACGGTGAGCACAATTTACCTTGCAAAAATCGCTTATTCAATTTTACGAACTACGGCTGTAACCACCAATTATAAACTACTCTTTTATGGTATCTACATTCGAATTTGTTTACATTAAGCACTATATCAATTTCACAATTTTGTCCACCGCTCCTACAGAAATAACTCACCCTGAAGCAGAAAACAAATAAATATCGAATCCTCCTTACTAAGTTCTGTTTCTCACTAACCCCGCAAACCACAAAAGAGGACTATAAAGCCCACCGTAGCTATCAGCATTCTAGCCGATTTTATAGTTTCACTCAAAAAAGCACAACAAGAAATTCGTTTTCTAGAATTTTCATAGCAGTTACTAAATTTCTATCACAAAACCACAGGTTACTTAGGTCAGCACTTAATTAGCTGGCGTTTGAGATATTACGTGTTTAGACATCTACTGCGGCCGTTAAAATAGTGCGCTAAAGCATTCGGATAAGTATCCCAATTGAAATGCCAACTATTAAATAGCTGTCGATAAAGTGTATAAGATTCACTTAAGGAACCGGATTGAATCTGACCAATAAAAAAAATTACGAAACTTGGTTAAAATAAAATGATTGAAAGACGCACTAGAAATCAGCCGAATCACAAGAATTCGTACTTGAGTCTCATAGATTGGCTTTCTGTTCTGCGTTCTCGCCCTAAGAAATGTCCAAATAATTTCAAGCACAAGAGAACCGTCTAGGGATTTATAATGTGATGTGCAACATAGCTCACCTGAAAAAATTTAGTTGATCGGGGATTTAATCAGGAGCTTATGTTGTTTTTAGAGGATGGAGATAGAGAAATTTGTAAGCAGACGTATTTAACATAATGACCAGTCTCTATTGCTAAGATTGTCTAAATTTATTTAATAAAAATTTATGTTCGAAAATGGATTGAAAAGATAGTTGTTTTTTACTCGTCTGCTCACTGATATATTAATGCTTCAATTAGTCTCCATTCCAGTTGGAGTGGCAATCATGAAATGTCTATGTGGATGACCCAGCTTTTAACCTTGGGAAAAGCTAGCAGAGTATGATGCATAACAAAAATGCCCTATCTACAACAAAATTTCTCGCTTTCTTCTGGCTCATTTAGATGATAAACTGGTTAACTCTTACAGCACCAATACTGCGTTAATATCATTTTTTGGTTGTCTATTTAATGACTTGATCACAAATATTAGGTGTGCTACTTAATTTTTACATACTTTTTCCTTTGAATTCAAAGGTAAATTTAAAATGTAATGCATATAAGGTCTTATGCGGTTTGAGAGGATCCGACGCACTGTTTTACAACACCGATAGATAAGTCTACGTGAGTTGCGCAACCTCTCAGAAGAGCAGAATTTACGAGAGTAACTGATA